TCACAGACTTTCGTGCCCAGGCTGGCTTTGAACCGGGATCCTCAGATATCAGCCTCCTGAGTAGCTAGGATTACAGGTGTGAGCCACAGGTACCCAGCTACACGTCTGCCTCTTAATTGGCTAAAATTTACAAAGGTGTGTGTATCCTATTAGAGTTGTTTTTGAGACAGAGTCCCACTAACTTTCGTCTGTGTTGGAGTTGTGCTGAGATTCTATGTCTGACTCCTGAGTAGCTGGGTTTAAAGGTCTGGGCCACCATACTGGCCCAGGGGTTTTGTCTTAATGTTGCCACAATACTGTGACACTGGAGAACATTGCTTACTAATAGACAGATAAATCTTATCTTTCTTTTACTCAGATCATTGGGAGGCATGGATGGAAAAAACCATGACAGTACAGAATTTATTTTTCTCCATCCTACCATCAGTTTAAATGTTGGTTTTGATGAAATAAAAATTTTGCTTGTGGAATGTTTGCGTTCAATCCAAGATGGCCTTCAAGAATTCCTCCTGGAAAGGGGGAGGGGAACAAGACAGGTTGCGCAGTCATCTGCAAGTTTGGTATGGGTGATCATCCAGGTGTCACCTAGCTGGGGCACAGAGCCGCCTTTGCTGCAGGTGTGCCCTCCCCCAGGTGCAGGGCCACCTACCAGGAGCAGCTGCAGCAGCAGCACCAGCAGAAGCAGCAGGTGTTGTTGGGCCTCTGATTTCCAGGTGCTTGAGCCACAGCAGGCGTTCCTTCATTTTGTGATTGCTGCCTTTTGCGCATGTCAGCGGCTGCGGAACCCAACTGGCTGAAAGAAAGCAGGAGGCACGGTATGAAAATATGGCCAGAAAGAAAAGCCACCAATGTGAAGAGTGAATCAGTTCATGAAGGGAGGAGGGAGATGGTTGAAGAGACGGTAAAACCAGGAAGCTTTAGTTGTTAATCCAAAAATTCCTAGGTATTTTTTTTTCAGAAGCACTTTGGGGACAAAAATTCTACCTGCTGCGTGAAATTGTAATAACAATAACAACAATAATAATGTCACTTATTCCAAAATCACTGGCCAGGTAAACATGGTAAGGTCTGAAAGTTTATTTGTGATTTGTTTCTCTTAAGTCACATCCTTTTGTGAGCATTTTACAAAATGGTAAGCTATCTAGCAATTCTCCCCATGGTGTTCACAGTAAGGAGAACTGAGTCTGACAATGGCGGATGCCAAGTTTCTAAAAATAGTAATCTAGCTAGGGAGGTCAAGTCTGCGTTTGGGAATCTCTCAGCTCCTTCCGTTGCCCTGGGTCTCATTCCTAGCATTTTTGTCTTCTCCTCCAGGGGCCTATACTCTCTGAAGTAGTGCTGCAGTTACTTCTCACTCCCTTAGGAGTCAGTGTTGGCAAGTCATCACCTCCCTGCTTCCCTTCAGCCTTCTATCTTCTAAAACTGACTTCCATTTTGCAGAGAACTGGAGAAAATTAAGAAGTCACCAAAGTCAGTGGGGATTGCTTTGGTGGAATTTATCTATCATGGCAGAGGAAAATAAATACTAGGACACAGAACGCTTGGTGATCAAACGAGTTGCGCTGGTTTCTACAGTCCGTTCCTGTCTTTGGTTGTGCTGCGGATTTGTAAAATGTTTTGGTGGACTATTAAATGCAGCATGGACTCTTAGAAATAGAAATGCATTGTTATGGAATGAGGTTTTCATAAAAACCTCACACATATATACTCATATACTGTCATAAATGTATAAATCATATATATATATATATATACACAGACATATATTGTCACACTTACACAATACTTATTACTATAATGTGTTTTGGGTCATTCTGCCATTGTGAGTTCATTCTTTTTACTTTTTTTGGGGGGGAGGGAGGGTCCTGTCATGGGGCCTGAACTCTGGGCCTGGGCACTGTCCCTCAACTCTTCAGCTCAAGGCTAGCGCTCTACCACTTGAGCCACAGCGCCACTTCTGGCTTTTTTCTTTTTTTTTTTTCTTTATGTGGTGCTGAGGAATCGAACCCAGGGTCTCATGCATGCAAGGCAAGTGCTCTACCACTGAACCACCTTCCCAGCCCCAAGTTCATTCTTAAAAGCTATATATTTGGTATGTATTAGTACAGGAGCTCGAATTCAGGTCAGGGAACTCTCCCTTAGCATTTTTTGCTCATGGATGGCACTCTACCATTTGGGCCACACCTCTGCTTCCGGATTTTTGTTAGTTGATTGGAGATAAAAGTTTTGTGAACTTTTCTCCCCAGGCCAGCTTAGAACTGTGATCCTCACATCTCAGCCTCCTGAGTAGTAAGGGTTACAGGCATGAGCCACCTGTGCCTGGTTGCAATGATAGATCATTTTAAAAAATACTGTGTTTTTTGAATCAAAACCCACATCTCTTCAGAAACTAAACAGAAAAACTCAGTGAAAGAAGGCACATAGGGGTGAAAACCATGGTCACTTGGTAATTCACATACCAGAGGCAGATGGGAGGTGTGAAGTCTTTCACCATGAATAGTATGAGAGCAGACTCTAGGCGACCTGGGATGGAATCAAGGTCTGTGACTCTGACACTCTTCCAAAGGTGCCAGAGGAAGAGCTCTCACCGTTCAGCATTGCCTAGCTTCAGGAGGGGAAGGGAGAGAGCTCAAAGCCTACACTAAGGGGTGTGGCTCAGGGATTGGTCCAGGAACATCTCCAAGCCATTTGTATACGGCAGGAATCCCAAGACCCCAAGGAAAAAGCTACTTCAGATCCAGGTTCTGAGAGACAAGTGGAGAAAACCCAAATCGTCGCATAGGAACAGTGAAAAGGGAGAGAGAGACCTCATTTAATGTGTTTGTCTGAAAGCAAAGAAAACCCCAAGTCACAGTAAAGAATAAAAAGCCAAGGATTTGGAGCTGAATGCACTGCTGATCAAATACCACTAACAGAATCATCTGAAATTAGTTTAACATATATTTAAGTTAAACGATGTGATAAACTATTCATATGGGGAAACAAATGATGATAAACCAAAATAAAGCAAATGTGAAGTGATATAACGGAAGCGGAAAACCAACAGCATGTAATCATTCAAAAGACTGACAGAATACTCTGTTCCTAAAGCGACCCCAAAGAAAGCAACCAAGTGATGGTACCCAGACTGCACACGGCAGTCAATGCCCAGAGTGCAGGTGAGTCAGCTCAAAGGAGGAAAGCCACAAGTACCGAGAGGCAGAGCAGAAGCTCAGCGTCCAACCATCAAGATTCTCATTAGGAGAGAATTCACGGATTTGTCAGGGAAGTGATATTTTAAGCAAAGTTGCCCGAGAACTTCAAAACATTGGAACAAAACAAAAAGAGGTTCATTCAAAGAGCGTACCACATGTTAAGTAGAATAAATAAAATAAAAATAAATCCACACCTTAATGTGAAACCAGAGATCTACAAGATAAAAAGGGAGGAAAAAAGGGAAAGAAACCAGAGAATGGACCTCACCCAGAGAAGTAATCTGTACTGGAGACTATTCATGTGTGATAGTAGATACTCAGGACAAGAAGAAAAAGGATAATGTGCAGAGAAAGAACGACAGTCATCCTACAATATTCTACTCAATGAAATGAAAATGCAAGAGTGAACATTATTCTGATAAATGAACTGAACACCTTCAGTTGTTGATGGCACCTGCTTGAAACAGACTTAAAGAAAATTAGTGGGAAGGATTTAGAATATGTTAACAATTAAGTCCTAAAATTGGTAAAACCAGACACTCAACGGTGGACTCAAATATCCAAGCTCCTGTAGTAAATTGAAGACTGCATAAATTAGGGAGACAGGTCAGGGGGCCGGGGGGCGGCACTATTCCTCCACTGAAATTGATTTGTCAAAAATGTCTCCATATTCCTAAATCCAAGAGTCATTCTGCCATCTTCTGCTGGGTTACTAGAATCTGAATATGTTCTCTCCTCATCAAGACTCACGGTGAGGCTCGATTCTTCAATACGATGATGGTGGTGAAGAGTTTTACGAAACCCTTCAGGAGTAATTGTCAGTGGGGCTCCACCCTCATCTTGGCAATAAGGAGAGCAGAAGAATGGACTGCCATAAAGCAAGGCGACACTTTGTGTTCACTGCCACACAGGCCTGCTTGCTGCCACTGCTCTGCCCTCTACTGAAGCAGCAGGGGGGCGCTCACCAGAGGCCAAATGTCCAGCACTCAGCAAAAATCAAACTCATCTTTATAAGATGACTAAGAGGCAATATCAGCAGCATTCAATATTCAAATGGACAGAATGGTCCTCCTTGCCCAAATCCACCATTTGAATTTCCAAACCTCAATGGGACGATATGAATTGACAAGGCTTTGGGAACTGACTAGGTCATGAAAGTGGGGATCTCATGAACAGAATGAATGTTCTTTTCTTTTTTTTTTTTTTTTCCTTTTTTAGTTGGTTGTGGGGCCTGAACTCTGGGCCTGGGCACTGTCCCTCAGCTCTTCAGCTCAAGGCAAGTGCTCTATCTACCACTTGAGCCACAGCTCCCCTTCCAGCTATTTCTGCTTATGTGGTGCTGAGGAATCGAACCCACGGCCTCATGCATGCAAGGTAAGCACTACCACTGAGCCACCTGTCCAGCCCATGAATGTTCTTTTCTTTTCTTTTCTTTTTTTTTTTTGTCGGCCGTGGGGCTTAAACTCTGAGCCTGGGCGCTGTCCCTCAGCTCTTCAGCTCAAGGCGAGCGCTCTACCACTTGAGCTACAGTGCCACTTCAGGTTTTCTGGTTGTTTATTGGAGATAGGAGTCTCACGGTCTCTCCTGCCCGGGCTGGCTTTGAACCACGATCCTCAGATCTCAGCCTCCTGAGTAGCTAGGATTACAGGTGTGAGCCACCAGCGCCCGGCTGAATGTTCTTTTCTTATGAAGAGACTCTCGAGGGCTTTCCTGCATCCTTCTTCAATGTCAGGACACAAAGAGAAGGAGCAGTCTGCAATCCAGGAGTCTCTTCACCAGACCCAGCCATGCTGCCCCCATGATCTCAGTATCCAGAAACTATGAGAAGGGAATTTCTGCTGGCTATCCTTCTCTCAGTCTGTGGCACTTGGTTACAGCAACCCAAATGGAGAGAAACAGACACAACCACTCCATCATCTTTCTTCTCTTGCCATCCTGGGCGCTAGACATTCCCTCTTGCTAGGCATTTCTCAGTCTACTTGGCTCTTTGCATTTCATCTCCCTTGCTTATGGTAGAACTCTTCTCTATCATTTCTTTGATGAACTACTCACGGAGGCATCTGATTTGGTGTTTTCTATACTGGCTTTCTGCACGATACACTCACATTATCATGAATTGAAAAAATGAATGTCCTGAAATCAAAACTCATGATCTAACTATTCACGAATCATCTCTGCCAGGCTCTCTCGACCTGACACCCCAGACTTTCCTTGTTTTGATCTAACTCCATGATTTCCCCCTAAAGTTGTTTCTCTCACACTTTTGCAAATCTCAGTAAAGGAAAAAGGTCAGCTTTTCAATTATTCAGACAGAAAACTTTGGGCTCATCCTCTCTACATCAGCCAGATCATGCTGCAGCCACCAGGTTGGGAAACCCCCGCACTGGGGTCCCGCTCTCGCCTCTGGTCTCTACCTCTCCTGTCTCCTCCTCTCCCTACTCTGTTCCCACATACTAGCCAGCGTGAGTCTTTTAAGCATACGTCAGGTAATTTTGGCAAACATCTTCCATTCATATCCACTCAAAATCTCCCAAACACTTAGCTAACAGAGTAAAAACCAAACCAAACCAAAACAGAAGTTCTTGCAAAGTA